AGAGAGGTCTGTGGCACCATGTGCGTCACCTCCAGGGCAGGTGGGGATGGAATTCATGCTGAAGTGGCTTTAGCTTCTTAGTGCTGTGCTATAACCCGCTGCTCTACCAGGGAGGACCTCTATTTGACTTTTTTTTTTAATTTTTATTCTACTTGCTGGAGGAGCTGCTCTGATTTATCTTCTGCTACTTTTACTTTGACTGCCATTTTTTAAAAAGAGGTATTTATGTATGCATACAAGAACTAGGGTACAGACCAGGTGCTGGGGAAGCTGTGAGAGGATTCACCAGAGACATTGGGGAATAGAACATTCAGATGGACTGAAATACACTGCTGAGGGGAGCGTTGGGAGGGTCAGGAGAGATCTGCCATGCCATGTGGGTCTCCTCATGGAACTTGTGCTGCAGTGGCTGCAGAGAGCTTCATAGTGCTGCTCTTCAACTCCTTGCCCCAGGAGAAGGGCCTAGGTGCTTTTTCTTAAACTGATTTTCTCTGATTTCTCTCTCCTTCCTGGGAGCATAGAGAATGTACATAAACTAAAACATTATGTCCTGGATTTATGCAGGGGAAAGAATGATCGGGAAAGAATGTTGGAAGTATCTTATAGTTCAGTTTGTTGACTTGCGTTTAACTCCCTAGAATTACCTGCTTTGCCTAATCTTAAACCTGTCTTGTTCAAGAGACAACTGGAGGGTTAAACCTCCAGTTTGCTATAGCATGGGGAGAAGTTTTTGTTTGTTCATCTCACTTTGTCTCTTCCTTTGCCTGACTAGGAGACAGGCTGATTTCCTTTATAGACTTTAAACCAGCCAGCTTTTTCAGCTCCATCCTTTGCTGTCTTCCATGGTAATCTGATTTCTACAATTTTAGAGAAAGTCATCTTGCTTTGTACTAGAATCTATACAGCCTAAGGTCTTCTCTAGTGTAACTTTCCTTAAGTGTCTCCAGTTCTAATCCTTGACCTGCTTTTCTTCTTCTTTCTATTCCTTTTTAAGTAATTCAACATATCCCATGATATTTAAATAACCTGACTATGCTGAGGATTCTTAAAGCACTTTTCATCTCCACTGCTAACAGTCTTTCCCAAACCTCTCTGACTACTAGTTTATACTCCCACAGTAGCCCTTAAACTGGTTTCCTTGCTTGAACTTTTTTTTTTTTTTTTTTAAGATTTACTTTTGAATAGAGAACTGGGGTATAGGCCAGAGATGCAGGGGTGGTGAGAGGGTTCACCAGAGACAGAGTGGGGAGCAGAACAGGCAGATCAATGAAGTACACTGCTGAGGGGAGCAGTGAGTGAGATAGGAGAGGTCTGCTGCGCCATGTGGGTCACCACCCTGGCCTGGAATCAAACCTGTGCTGGACACAGCTGCATCCAGCTTCATAGTGCTGCGCTTCAACCTGTTGCACCACCAGGGAGGGCCCTTGACTAACTTGTTTACATCCATCATGCCTCACCTCAGTTTATTGTGTCTAAAATGGTGCTCTTTGTCTCTCTCCCAGTACCAAATATCACAGCTTATATAGTCAGTATTTCATAACTCTTTATTCTTACACTTTGCTAGAATGTAAACTCAGGGTCTTACTTGTCTTTACCTCTGTGGGGTATCTGGTTACATAACCAGTGTTTAATATCTGTTGGATGTCATCTTTTTTCTTCTTCTCAGGTTTAGCTATTTATGCATATAGAACTGGGGTACATGCCAGCGGTGCAGGAGTGGTAAGAAGATTCAGAGTGGGGAGCAGAATAGGCAGATTGACGAAGTACATTGCTGAGGGGAGCAGCAGGCAAGACAGGAGAGGTCTGCTGGGCCATGTTGGTCACCTGTGGGGTGGGGATCGAACTCACACTGAAGCAGTTATAGCCAGCTTGCAGTGCTGCGTCCTAACCTGTTGCGCCACCAAGGAGGACCCAGATGTCATCTTTTTTGGAGAGGTTAATTAAATTTCTCTGTGCATTTGTTTTGAAAATTTTCCTAATTAGGGTCATGACAATAACTGGAAGATAGACTCACTCATTTAATTCCCTTATTTTATAGGTCTTTCTATTTTAGACAGTATTACATGACTTAATTTTTTGAAAGGCCTAGTTGGAAAACTGGTTACTAATGCTGGTTTTGGAGAAAAAACTACCAAAACGTCTTTGGCTTAAAACAGGTAGCCAAAATCTTGACTGTCAGCCTCTCAGTTTTCCCAAGAATGATCTGAAACAAAACTCCTTGAAGATTAGATATGATTATATCAGCTATATGGCCTGTTTTTTTTATATATTTTACTGATTTTTTTTTTTTTAACAAATATTGCTTTCCCAGTGATGGCTAATGAAGCAATGGAATGTGACCTTCAGATGGAATTAGAACAGCCGGCTCCTGCAGAAGTGGTTAGCAGCCAAGGAGGAACACCTCTGCGTCTGCCTGCTCCTGCTGAGGTGGCCAGCAGCCAAGGAGGACCACTCCTGTTTCAGCCCTCTCTTGCAGAAGTGCTCAGCAGCCAAGGGGTGGGACCACTCCTCATTCGTCCTGCTCCTGCTGAAGTGCTCAGCAGTCAGGCTGGGGGGCCACTCCTACTTCATCCTGCTCCTATTGAAGTGTTCAGCAGCCAGAATGGGGGGCCACTCCTAATTCAGCCTGCTCCTGCTGAAGTGCTCAGCAGCCAGGGAGGACTGCCTTTGCTTCAGCCTGTACCACAAGTGTCCATTGATCTGACAGAGGGAGTAGGGTCCTTGAGAGGAGATAATGTGGAAAACATCAATCCAGGAGCGTTGGAGGCCCATGGACAGGGATCTGGTGTTAACCACACAGTCAGGGTAGCCTCATTGGATTCAGTGAACAATTTTATCAGTGGGCTGCAAAGACTTCACGGCATGCTGGAATTCCTGAGACCCTCATCTGCAGACCATGGTGTGGGGCCGATGCGAGCGAGGAGGAGGAGGGGTGCTGCTTCACGCAGGGCAAGAGTGGTAGGGTCTCAGAGGACAGACAGTGCCAGGTAAATACATGTTTGACTTGTGTGGCTGGGAATTGATAATATTAGGCTGTGGTCATTGAATCCTTTGAAACTTGACTTTGACACATAACAAATAGGTGACTTTTCCGAACTCTTTTTTCCTAAGTCATATGAAAATAAAAGTGCTTGTCTTAATTTACTTCACAAAATAATGAAAGGATAAGTTCCACAGCTGTGCTTTGAAAACTAGGTGATAGTTTATTGGCAGTGGTTTCTGTAGAAGCTGGCTCTTTAAATCATTTGTGTCTTGTACATGAAAAATATATTAACTTGCAAGTTCATTCCTCTCACCCAGAATCCATTGGCAGTCCGCTTAGTTGTATGATAGACTTTGGAAAACAGGCTGGATTTAGAGAAACTTTATGAAAAATTAAAATGTGAGTTTAGACCTTATATAAGACCTTTTCTGTGGGAAACATCCTAGCCCTCCTCACTTAAAATAACTTTGTGTTGTAGTTTTTGACGAGATGTTACTAAAAAACCATAGGTGGGCCATCTATTACCTGTTAGACAACTCTCTGGGTTGTTATGAAAAATGTGAGGTAGATTCCTGGCCAGCTCATGACTTTTTAGTTAACCTAGTCTATTTTGTCATTCTCACTTTCCTTTTCCCACCCCTTGAAACTTTACTCCCCTTAATTTTATTAAATTATTTGGAGAACTGAACAGGTGGATTTATTGGAGAGGTCTGCTGAACCTTCCCTTAATTTAAGAGGATTAGGGGAGAATGTCTCTTCTATAACTACCTCCTTTGGTCAAGGTCATAGTCTCAGAGCGCTGGAGGAATGAATAAAGGCAGAAATGAGTGCCATCCTGGGTGGGGCTACATAATGTCTGGCATAGCTATCATTTTAATGTAGATCTGTTGCGAGTAAAAGTTTTCACATTTTGGGGTGAGATGAGCTGATATTCCACTTTTGCTTACAAAACTGAAAATCTTAGCAGAACTCAGAGAGAATCTTCTTAGAGTAAGTGAACCAGTATTAAAGATAAAAGCCCCTTAAAGTTCAAAGTTACATGCTAATTAATTGTTTTACAAAAAAATTTTTTTTTCCCTCATATACATACTACATTTAGAGAAATGTAAAAGACCATTTTTCACCATTTGGCTTTAATTAGATTTCTGCAAAAAGTGGTCAGGAATAAGTTTTTCACCTCCCCCTTAGTCACAGCAATTCATTTGTGGGTTATTTGTGTGATGATGGGCAGTTCTACTATGTAATTCTGTTGCCTTTTTGCATACATAGGTCAAGAGCACCGCTGGATTCTTATTTTCAAGTCAGTAGGACCCAGCCTCGCTTGCCAACCACCTCTTCTTACAATTCAGAGGCTAGAGATACTGTGTCTGAAGTCTTGCATGGGTCAAATGGTTCTGATTCTGACAGTGATAGCTCTACAGAGTTTGAAGAGGGTGTTGTCCAAGCAGAGGAATCTAGAGATGTTACTTTAGAAGGTGAGTATTTTGCTATATTTGTATTTATACAAACGTCTTGTGAGACATTTATACTCCAGAAGGCTGGAAACTGTTTGTATTTTAGTACTTCTCTTCTGCTTCCCTGCTTCCACAAATGTCAAAGATTCATTCCACAGGACAAATGATCAGATTTCTCTGACAAATCAATAACAAAACAGGTGAATTGTAGTTTAGAACATAACGTTCATCAAAAACAATATCATTGAGAAAGTGGAATGGCAACCCATTGATGAGGGAAGACATTCACAATACCTGTATCCTTTAAAAAAAACTTATATTTAGTTTATTTTCAAATCTTCATTTTTACTTCCTACAATGGAAATTGCAGTTGAGATACTATGTAGCTGGAATAAAGCTGCTTTCAGATTTTAAAAAAACAAAAACTTATATTTAGGAACTCTTTACTTCTGCAGCCTGATAGAAAAATAATCATAAGATTGATAATGTACTTCCAAAAGAGGATAGTCAGGGCCTCTCTGGTGGCACAAGGGGTTAAGTTGAGCTCTGTGAAGCTATCTGCAGCCACTGCAGCTTTTTTTACTTATGCATATAGATATAGGATATAGGTCAGAGGTGTGGGGTGAGGGTATTCACCAGAAACAGAGTGGGGAGCAGAATAGGCAAATCCACGGAAATACACTGCTGAGGGGCACAGCGGGGCAGGTCAGGAGAGGTCTGCTTCACCATGTGAGTCACCTCCCTGGCCAGGATCAAAATCATGCTGAAGTAGTTGCAGCTAGCTTCATAGTGCGGCACTTTAACCCATTGCACCACCAGGGAGGGTTATATTAGCTAGTTTTAAATAATTATTGTTAGGTATAATGAAGATACAGATTCTATATTTTTTTAATTATTGAGGTAACTGGTTTATAAAAATGATTCATGATTATGTCTTTTATCTTTGTATTAGTGTTTTAATAAAAGTTTTTATACATGACAGGATATTAGGGTTTATTATGTATTCCAAGAGAAAATAATGGGAATTAGGGCTTAGATGGAACAAGATTGGCAAAATATTATTTAATTAGGTGATAGATACTTGGGTTAATTTTACTGTTATGTTTGTTTTTATGTATGTTCGAAAAATATCCAAAATCAGTTAATAAAATGTTTGCTGATGCTACTTGGGGAAATTGTCATCACAGCAATACTACCAGTTAGAAATGGAAAGTTGTGCATCATGCTCTCTGCTGCAAGGCTCTCATAGATGACTCATATGTTCTTTTGTTTATTTTCATTTCTGCAAACAACTTGGCAGGGCAACTAGAAAGCATGTCAGCAGAGCAAGAAACTACATGTGGTGGAGGAGAGACCATCCCCAAACAGGTAATTCATAAATACCCTTTTCAGTGTGAAAGACATGGATTTTCATTTTAAAAGGAGGTTGCAATCAAAAGGAAAATTTTGGAGGACTTGTAGGCTGGGTGTGTACTATCCAAGTTATTCATCTGTGTAACTATTTCCACACAGGTTTAAAAGTGGGGGAGGAGGTATAAGGACAATTTGCCCTGCCTATTTAATAGTATTAAATATCAATTCAGTTAGTAGACGTCATGTACTTTGAACTGTTAGGCCAAGTATGATTGCTGTGTGAGAAACAATTTTCATTTTTGAACGGCACCTACTCATCATTGCCCTTAGAATGAGAATTAGTTATGTCAACTGTGGACTCTACCAGTCCTAAAACATAATTGATTGCACCTCTGTATGGCTTCCATATTCTGTTTTTGTTTTTTGTTTGTTCTTACATAAAGAATTGGGATGTAGGCTAGAGGTACAGTATAGGCATAAGGGGGAAAGGGTGAGAGGATTCACCAGAGACAGAGTGGAGAGCAGGCTTACTGAAATACACTGCTGAAGGGAGTATTGGGCAAGACAGGAGAGGTCTGATTTGCCATACATGTTTCAGCTCCCTGACCAGGGATCAAACCCAGAGGCCATAGAGGTGATAGCACTGAGACTTTGCCCCTAGCAGGGGGGGAGTCCATTAACAGATATTTGTGAGTATTTGTGGGGGGTGTGTCTAGCAGAGAGATTGCTATATCACCGGAAAGTTACGTATTTCAGTTTTGATGGACAGTAACAAATTGTCTTCTGGGAAATTTATACCAATTTCTACTTGCAAAACATTGTGTAACCATGCCCATTCTCTTACTCTCTAAAGTATTCGGTATCATCAGACATCAATTATACCATTTCATAGGCACAAAAATGGTCACTTTAATTTACATTCCTTTAATTATGAGTATTTACTGATCATTTGTGGTTTCTTGTAAACTGATTTTTAAGCTTTCTTTTCCTGGTATTTTTTTTTCCTTTGATTTATGTGAGTCTAATTGTTTTACGTGACTACTTGATGGATCTAATTTTACATGTATGACAAACCCACTATTTCCTAGGTTTTTTGTTTTATTAAATTTTTTTTTTTTTTTAATATTCAGTAAGGCCCTCCCTGGTGGCGCAACAGCTTAGGTCGTGACACTGCAAGCTAATGGCAGCAGCGTCAGTGCGAGTTCAATCCCCGCCCCAGGGGTGACCCACATGGTGCAGCAGACCTCTCCTGTCTGACCCACTGCTCCCCTCAGCAGTGTACTTCGCCATTCTGCCTGTTCTGCTCCCCACTCTGTCTCTGGTGAAGCCTCACACCACCTCTTGCATCTCTGGCCTGTACCCTATTTCTGTATACATAAACAAATAAATAAATCTTAAAAAAAAATAAATGTTTAGCAAAAGTTTGGGGGCCTACGTTCTTTGAATTAGAAGAAGTCACATTTATATTCCAAATCCTCTTTTTTTCTTTAAAGATTTATATTTTTAAAAAACATGCATAACTCGGAGCCTCCCTGGTGGTACAGCGGGTTAAAGCACAGCCCTAAGAAGCTAAAGCCATTTCAGCATGAGTTTGATCCCCGCCCTGGAGGTGACCTCTCCTGACCTGCTTGCTGCTCCCCTCAGCAGTGTACTTCTTAGTTCTGCCCATTCTGCTCCCCACTCTGTCTCTGGTGAATCCTTTCACTACACCTGAACCTCAGGCCTGTACCACCGCTCTGTATGCATAAATAAATGAATCTAAAAAAAAAAAAGCATAAATCTTGTATGCATAAATTAAAAAAAATTTTAATGAAGCTCTGGAATATAAATAATTGTGACTTCAGCTAATTCAATGTAGGCCCCAGACCTTTGCTGAACATTTAAGAAGAAAAAAAAAACAAAACAGGAGAGGTCTGCTTCTGAGGATCAAACTCATGTGATAGCTTCATAGTGCCGTGCTTTAACCCTTTGTTTGTTTTGAATGAAGAAAAATATACCCAAGAATTTAAGATCAAAAGGTAGTAATATTTTTATGACTTCTTTTTCACCAGATTGTAGTCTAGAAAAAATAACAAGTGATTTGTAGATGTTGGTTTTTCTGTAGTGTTTTCAATTCAGTTTTGGATCATTTTTGTGAAGTTTGGTTCACATATTGTTGCACATCCTCTTCCAGACTGATTTTGCATTTTTTCTCATTTGAATATATTCTATATTCCTTTTAGCAATCTCCCCAGTTGTCCAGTCCTCTGCTAACTAATGCTTCTGTGGATGAGGAAGAAGGGGACACTTGCACAATATGTCTAGAACAATGGACCAATGCTGGGGACCACCGGCTTTCAGCCCTACGCTGTGGACACCTCTTTGGGTATAGGTGCATTTCTAAATGGCTCAAAGGACAGGCACGAAAATGTCCTCAGGTAAGTACCGTGTTTTTACACAATCAGCTGTTAAGTCAGAATTAGTATAGTTGCTAGAACTAAACTAATTACATTTTATTGAACTCTATAGTGCAACAAGAAAGCCAAGCACAGTGACATCGTTGTCCTTTATGCCCGAACCCTGAGAGCTTTGGACACGAGTGAACATGAGCGCATGAGAAGGTGGGTGGCAAGAGTACCTGGTTGGAACATTCCCTTTTGGTTCCTTGTGTGCACATCTGAAAAAGGTGGTGTGAATCATTTTTAGTGTGATTTTGAGATTTGGGTTGTATTTGCAGCTTATTGATGATCTGTCTCACATTCTGATTTGTTGTTTATGTCTGATCATCTTCTGAAGGAGGTCAATTTGGTTTGTTCTTGTATCCTTAAAAATGAGGGTCTGGAGGGCCTCCCTAATGGCACAAGGGGTTAAGTGTCAACACTGTGAAACACTCCGTAGTCACTGCAGCAAGTGGCTGCATGAGTTCGGTCACCCGGCAGGGTGATGACCCACATGGCACAACAGACTTGGCCTCATCCGCTGCTCCCCACTCTGTCTCTAATGAATGCTCTCATTCTCCTGCACCTCTGGCCTACATGCATTACAAATATTTTTTTTTTCTTTTAAGAGGTTCTGGAATATAAATAATTGTAATATCTGCTAATTCAGTGAATGTAGACCCCAAACCTTTACTGAACATTTAAGAAAATAATGTAGTCCCAGATTGCATTCACTAAAATGCCTTCTTAGTCATGGGAAAAGTCTATGTAAAAGTGGTCAATACACAGAATAGCAAAGCTGAGAAGTAGAAAAAATTAGATTCCTGATACTCAATTCAGCTGTGCCTTGTGTCAGGCTCCAGTGGATTTTTATTATACATGTCAATATATTGATTTTCAATTTTAGTTTATTTTTTAATATTTATTAATTAAATATTAAGAACTAGGGTACAGGCCAGAGGTGTGGGAGGTGAGAAAATTCACCAGAGACAGAGTGGCGAGCAGAACAAAGATTACTAATCTGCCACATCATGTGAATTATCCATCCCTGGAAGACACACATATAGATAACAGAAATCTTCCATGAAAGAAGATTGAAGCACTAGAAGCACTATACTAAAGCTACTTTTAAGACTTATTTATTTATGTGTACAAAAACTGGGGTATAGGCCAGAGGTGAGTGAGAGAATTCACCAGAGACAGGTGGGGAACAGAACAAGCATATGTACTGAAATCCTGTGCTAAGGGGAGTAGTGGGTCACCTTCCTGTCCCAGAATCAAACTCATGCTGCAGTAGCTTCGGACAGCTTCACAGTACTGTGCTTTAACCCATTGTGCCACCAGGGAGGGTCCTCTAAAGCTATTTGTTTCTGCTATCAGAGTATGAATGTTGTATTCTGACTGGAACAGGTAGATTCAGAAGGAGTGAGGAAGCTGTTCCTTTGGTAGGATCACTTGGGTATTCCCCTGAATTTGGAATCAGATCTGATACTAAGCCTATGGTGATGTGATCTGGGGATACCAAGTCCTAAGCCCTCCAAAAATCCAAAAACCTGTGGGTAAGATATAGCCCTATAGTAATAGCTCATACCTGACCCAGGCATCAGACTGAAGCAGAAAAATATCCTGGATTTTCTGTGGCCAGTCTAGATTTTTCCTTGAGGATTACATTTCTGCCGCCTCTGCTGCTAAATTACCATGAACACTAAAATCGGAGATTCCCTTACTTAGTCTTCATAGTCATCTGTTACTCTCCATCTTAGTTCCCTTGTTACTAGAATAGATTTAATATTTAAAAAGAGAGAGAGAATGTGACACATTACTTAAATGTTGCTATTCTTATGGGGAACCCTAATTTCTACATTGTTCTCTACAGAAAACTCAAATATTAAGTCATACTTTGCTCATGCAGTGTAATGAAAGAAATTAATCAGAATTTTGAAACTCTGAACAGTTGGTAATAACACTACTTATAATATGCTATCAGTACATCAAAGATTAAAATGCTACCATCCAGAGAGTGCAGGGACATGACTGTTGAGATGTACACGAGAACAACCATTTTAATCAGGTCCTTGGCAGTATGCTTCAGTATGATCTAAGCCAGAGAGGTGACCCACATAGCTCAGCAGGCCGCTCCTGTCTCGCCTGCTCCTCCCTCTAGCAATGTATTTCAGTAGATCTGCCTGTTCTGGTGAATCCTTTCCCTCCTGCACCTCTGAACTACACATCAGTTCTTGTATGCATAAATAAATGTCTTTTTATTATATATATATAAAAAACCACTATAACAAATAAAAGTTACATTGAAGTGCATATGGTACATTGTCATGTTAAAGTACATTATCAGTGTGAATATATTTGTGAATTGGAAAAGCCCAAGTAATCACTGAGGAGTAGAATTATTGATTATTTTAATTTCTTTTCTTCACTTGCTCTGTCAAATCTTGTAGTATTCTGAAATGGCAATTGTGTGGCAGATTGTTGAATAGGCAAAACCTATTGGTGTGTTTGTTTTTGTGACCCCTGCAGGAAGTTGTTTTTTTTTTTGTTTTGTTTTGTTTTTGTTTTAAAGATTTTATTTATTTATGCATACAGAACTTGGGTGCAGGGGCAGTGAGAGGATTCACCAGTGACAGAATGGGGAGCAGAACAGGCAGATCAACAAAGTACACTGCTAAGGGGAGCAGAGGGCAGGTCAGGAGAGGTCTGAGGCACCATGTGGGTCACCTCCGGGCCCAGGGGTCAAATTTGGACTGAAGCATCCCAGGCCAGCTTTGCAGTGCTGCGCTTCAACCCCCTGTGCCACCAAGGAGGGCCCCCTGCAGGAAGATTCTAAATGCTAATAAATACAGAGGCTGAAAATGAATGCCTTTCAATTCAGCTTTATCAAATTTAGTATTTGGCCATATTTGTTTTAAGAAACATACAATAGGAGCTTCCTAGTGAATTAAGTTCATTTTAATTTCATATTTTTTCCCTAGAGGTAGCTACTTTCATCAGTTAGGTGTTCATTACCAAGAATGGTTATATGTTTGGCTACATAATATATACATAAATCATATATTGTATAATTTTAAAGTGTTTTATAGCTGTATGTGAACATTAGTATATAATTTCCCTTTGTGACTTTTTTGCTTAGTATTTTGTTTCAGGCACTTAGCCTATTTGATACAATAGCATATTGTATCAAGAGCAATAGCATATTTATTTGAATTTCTGTATAATATTCTAGTTCTCTAAATTGAAGGCTATTTTGGATTATATGTATGTATGTACATACCTATTCTGTATATTGGTGAAGGTAAGTGGTTTCCAGTTTTTTTAAATACAACGCATCCTGTACAGAGCTAGGTGAATTTCTGCAGGTATAGAAATAGAATTGTTTTAGTGAAGGGTCCATGTAATTTGAAGTTTGCTAGATGTAGTCAAATTGTTCTTCTAAGAAGCTATTCGAGTTTATACTCCCATCAATATCAGTAGAAGAGATATCTTACTTTTTCCATACTTTTGCCCACTTTATATTACCAGACTTAATCAGGGGTGAAATAGTATTTAACTTGTATTTCCTGTTACTAATGAGGTTGGACATACTTTTCTATGAATTGTGTTCACATCTTTTGCTTATTTATAGTTTGTTTTTTACTGATTCATGGTTTTTGTGTTTTCATTTACTGATTCTTTGTTGTGTGCATTGCAGTATTGTCTCCCAGTCTGTGACTTTCTCTAACTTGTTTGTGTTATCTTTGTTTCAACATGAATTTTTAATTTTTTTTAACTTGCAAAGTAAAAGGTTTTTTTTTTTTTTTTTAAATATTCATTTTGTGCATTTTTCCATCTCACTTGTAACCCTCATGGGGTTCCCATCACCAAATCACCCATGTGCCATCACTATAGTCCAGTGCATTTCCCTCCCCACATTGTTTTTGATCCCATTCCCCACTCCATTCCCATAAATTGTCTCTGGTCTATAGCTGTTCGTTAATTTATTTTCTCGCCTGGTCTGTTATACTCCTGCTATGAGTGAAACTTTCTGTTATTTTTCCTTTTCTTTCTGGCTTATTTCACTAAGCATGATCTTTCCTAGCTCCATCCATGTTGCTGTAAAAGGCATGTGTTTATTCATTTATTTTCTTTTTTGGTTGCTGAGTAATATTCCATTGTGTATATGTACCACATCTTTTTTTTTTTTTTTTTAAAGATTTTTTTATTTGTACATACAGAACTGGGGTACAGGCCAGAGGCTCAGGGGTGGTGAGAGGCTTCACCAGAGACAGAGTGGGGAACAGAACAGGCAGATTGACGAAGTACACTGCTGAGGGGAGCAGCGGGCGGGTCAGGAAAGGTCTGCCACGCCATGTGGTCACCTCCGGGGCAGGCGGGAATCGAACTCATGCGGAAGTGGCTTTAGCGTCTCAGTGCAGTGCTTTAACCCGCTGCGCCACCAGCAAGGGCCCATGTACCACATCTTTTTAATCCAGGCATCTACTTTTGGTCATTTGTTTGTTTCCATGTCTTTCCAATTATGAATTTTTAATTTTAACAGTCATTGATCAGTCTCTTGCTTTGTGCTTTATTTGGTCTCCACTTAGAAGAGTCGTTAAGTTTTTGCTGTACAGGTTTTGAGTCTGTTATCTGATATCTAGTTTTATAGATAATGATTTTCTTTCACTTACTGTTATATTGTGTCTTTTACAAGTGTACTTAATAAAGTTTTATATGCTTTTTAACTTTCTTCTTAGGTTGCTATTTTCAGCTCCTGTGAGTGAATGTGTGTGCATTGTATTTTTGTCTCCCAGTCTGATTTATCTCTCTTAACTTGTTTGTGGTATCTTTGTTGAACATGAAATTTTAATTTTAACAGTCATGACTCAATTTGTGCTTTATTTGGTTTCCATTTATAAGGGTTTTTTTAAGATGTTGCTATACAGGTATTTAGTCTGTTATCTGAAATCTAGTTTTATGGATAATTATTTAAAAGTATATCAGGGGCCCTCCCTGGTGGCGCAGCGGATTAAAGCACTGCACTGAGCGGATTAAAGCACTGCACTGGTGGCGCAGCGGATTAAAGCACTGCACTGCACTTAAGCCACTTCCGCCTGAGTTCGATTCCCGCCTGCTCCGGAGGAGATCCACATGGCGTGGCAGACCTCTCCTGACCCGCCCGCTGCTCCCCTCAGCAGTGTAATTTGTCGATCTGCCTGTTCTGCTCCCCACTCTGTCCCTGGTGAATCCTCTCACCCTCCGCATCTCTGGCCTGTACCCTAGTTCTGTATGAATAAATAAATAAATCTTTAAAAAAAAAAAGTATATCAGGTATCAGTTATCAGTATATACCAGGTACTAGCTATCTGGTATATGAGGGATGCTAGTGACCTAATTTTCTCAATCTTCATTCCAGCAGTCTTGCTGAACTCTTAACAGTTTATGAATCCTCTGAAGAACCCATTATAGTTTAGGTTTCCATGCTAATAAAGCCAATTCCATCCCTTCCTTTCAAATTTTCAACTTATCCTATCTCATTGGAATAGCAATCTCTCTTTGCAGTTCATATTTTGAAACTATCTTTAGGTATATGCAAATTTGTGAGCTTTATTCTTGGTGAGTGTGTACTTTCATTATGCATTGTTTATCTTTATTGCCTATTGTTTTTTTTTATAATTGGTATTTTGTTAGCATTTGCTTTGTGTACAACTTTCATTAAATTCAGCTTTGTTGAGGAGTGCTTATTATTTGTCTGGTAAACAACCAATATTATTTTCTTTTAATGCAACAGATAAACTTAGTCTTTTGACATACAGATTGAATAAGCTTGGCTCTGTTTCCTCATACATTTTTAGTACCTACCCCTAGTAGGAGTCAGACTTCGGCCATCAGGGATGTAACCCTGAAGCCCAGTAGGCTCATGAGTTCAGCCCTGCACATAACATTTCTTTAGTATTTATAAACTTAACTTTTTATTCTTGTGTATGATGCACATGCCTCAAAAATGTGTGTATCATAGCATGAACTTACTATTCCGTATTGATGAGGAAAGTCTTCTGTAACCTTTCTAATCTCTACTTGTTGCGGATTTTCCTCCCCTAGCTCATTACTGAAGGAGCAGATGCTAAGAAAGCAAGCTGAGTTAGAATCTGCACAGTGCCGGCTCCAGCTTCAAGTCCTCACTAATGAATGCACTAAGCTTCATAGTCGTGTCCAGGTAAGTTGATCCTTTCTATGCCGAAGAACTTTTGAAATAGAAATTAGAAAAGAATCTTAAGTATTACTTAGGTTCTTCTCAGATCACATAGGATTTAGTAAGTATCCCAGAAGTAAACATAACCACCTCTTTATTTCTGATTAGGGCATTTTCCCAAAACTTACATACTTTATTATATATTTTTATGATTCTCCTTTGTTTCAGTTGCTAATTGAAATACTGTGAAAACCACATCAGTTCTCTAGGATTCATGTTACATTTTCATATAATGTGCAAAAAATCTTGCTTTAAGGAATTGTGCTGACGGAAATAGCAAACGGAAAAGCTTCACATCTATAAAATCTTTTTCATTGTAGGACTTGCGAAAACTTATTCTAGAACATCGGGATCAAATTTCACAGCAGCTGGGGGCCTCCCAAGCAGGTTTCCTGAACTGCCTACCCCATAGCCAGAGCCAGCGCAAGTACCGTTTCCAGAAGACCTTCACAGTGTCTCAGTCAGGAAATTGCCGAATTATGACATACTGTGATTCTTTGAGTTGTCTGGTGATGTCACAACCTTCCCCTCAGGCTTCCTTCCTTCCAGGTAAACAGTCTAGAACCTCAGCTCTCATTTTCATTATTGGACTCCATTTAATTTCTCTCACCTCTTTAGAGAATCCGTGACTCACTGGAGGGTGAATACTGATCAAATCACTTTTTGATTTGATCACTTACTGATCAATCCTAATTGGTGTCTCATTAATGCAGATACTTTAGTGAGCTGCAGAGATGTTATTAGTGTTTCTTGGTACACAGATTCATCAAGAGAGCAGAAACAGTGAAAAACTTAAGGTGAGAGGAGATATTTGAGAGTGGCTTACTGGTGTAGTTGAAGAAGAACATTAGTCCTTATATGTACCATTAAAGTTCAGATTAATTTTCCAGACTGGAAATTTTGTAAAAACACTACCACATGGGCTAATTCAAGTTGAAACTAGATCTAATAAGTTCAACAGTGTTCAGATTGACAAAATGCAAGTAAAAGAATTTGGATATACACTGATTTTTTTTTTTCAATTAATACTATACTGATTTTCCCATATTTTATGCATTTTAAGTTTAACATATGGTGCAGCAGACCTCTCCTGTCTCTCCCGCTGCTCTCCTTAGCAGTGTATTTCAGTAGATCTACCTGCTTTGCTCCCCACTCTGTCTCTAGTGAATCCTCTCACCACCCACACCTTTGGCCTATATCATAGTTCTATGCAAAAATAAGTAAGATCTTCAAAAAACCTAAAGAATTTTTGTTTGTTTCATCTTCTTCCTGAGGACATAATGTCAAGAAATGTGGACAAAGGTATTTTTTACAAGATTACCTTGCTTTGCCCTAAATTGACTTTCAGAGATCTCTTTCATTCTTGCTCTCATCTTTTGCAGGCTTTGGTGTTAAGATGTTGAGTACTGCCAACATGAAAAGTAGTCAGTACATCCCCATGCATGGCAAACAGATCCGAGGGCTGGCTTTCAGCAATCATTCCAGAGGTTTACTGCTTTCTGCTTCCCTGGACAACACTGTTAAACTGACCAGGTAAGTAAGTGCTTTGAGGAAGGTGATGGGGCCTGGGTCGAAATCAGTATCTGCATGTTACAGACATGTTACAGCTGTCTTCTTTTGAGATGAAGTTCATGAAATTTAAAATATTACTTTTGAAAGTGGCATAGCAAGTTATAAAACTGTGTTACTTTTTTAAAATTGTAGGTATTAAAAAATATGGCTCAAGTTATGCAGAAGAGGGTAATAGCCTAGAGATGGTAGAATGACAGTAGGGAGGGAGCCTTGGTATCTGCCGCTACAGAGTCACCGTGCCATGTTGGTACTGCAAACTCCTCATTACTTTCTTTCTACCATCAATTACAGTGGGTTTTTTTTTTTTTGTAAAGATTTATTTATTTATGCATACAGAACTGGGGTACAGGCCAGAGGCTCAGGTGCAGCGAGAGGCCTCATCATAGACAGAGTGGGGAGCAGAACAGGCAGATCGACGAAGTACACCGCTGAGGGGAGCAGCGGGTGGGTCAGGAGAGGTCTGCTGCGCCAGGTGATCACCTCCGGGGCAAGCGGGGATCGAACTCATGCGGAAACGGCTTAAGCTCCTTAGTGCTGCGCTTTAACCCGTGCGCTGCCAGGGAGGGCCCATGGGGTTTTTTTTTCTTTCTTCACTTGATGTAGAATATCATGAGCCAGATCTGAGTGTATATGGTGCCTTCATCTTTTAAAAAAGTAATTCTTATCATATAGCTAAGTTGGATTCCTTTTTAATGTATCTGGCTAAACCTGAGGTTTAGTACTATGAGGCCTAATAAATAGCCTTTTGACTTTTCAAGAATGCTTCAGCTTAAATTTAACTCTGAAGTCAGTGTACATTATGTTTTATATGCCTATTTATACACTGGGTTTTTCCTAAATGGTAAGGGTTAAGGCCCTCCCTGGTTGTGTAACTGGTTAAAGCACAGCACTATGAAGCTGTCTGCACCACTGCAGTGGGAGTTCAATCCGCAGCCAGGGAGCTAACCCACATGGCGCAGCAGACCTCTTCTGACCTGCCCGCTACTCCCATCAGCAGTGTTATTTCAGTAGATCCTGCCTGTTCTGTCTCTAGTGAATCCTCTCACCCCCTGTAACCCCCTGCACCTTGGCCTGTAACCTAGTTCTTATATGCATAAATAATTTTTTTTTTTTTGTAAATAATGGAGGTAAAGAAGCTAAATGCCAAAAACAAAGATGCTTCAGAATTTGGCACAAACCATACTACTCTGCCAGGAACATGCATTACTTTACCCCACATTACTCTAGTGTATTCATTTTGCCACTAGAAATTGCTGTGTTGTTCCTTGCTTTGTATACATATGCATATCTGTTGCCTAGGTAGAATTCAGTTTCAGGTTGCACATAATAAACACTATAAGAAGAGGTGATTGTTGCCTTGGTTCCAGAGATACCACTTGGAGCCAGCAAAAATGGCCTTGGACCACCACCTTGCAGTCATATTCTAGAAGTCCTACTCCTAGCAGACCTCCATAGCTCTAAGGTGGCAAAAATGTGATAATGCATAATTTAAAAAGTCTCTTGTGTTTCCACAGCCTGGAGACAAATACTGTGGTTCAGACTTACAATGCTGGCCGTCCTGTCTGGAGCTGCTGCTGGTGTCTTGATGAAAATAATTACATGTATGCTGGCCTGGTCAATGGTTCAGTTCTTGTATATGACCTTCGAAACACGAACTCGCCTGTGCAGGAGCTAATTCCTCAGAAAACTAGGTAGGAAGCCACTCACTTCCTGTAGGTAGCTATATTAGGCTGTTAACTGTATTAATGCACTTTAAAAAAAGTTTCACTCTAGTCAAAAATCCTCACATAGTGCAGTTCTCTGAGGCCATTAATACAGTCTCACTTCATAATCAGAAAGTTCCTTAGGCTTTGTGTTCATGATACTGCACATGATAGTGTGCTCTGGTTTCAGTTAGAACTAAATTTGTAATTACTCAGCATCCAGCATGAAAAATGGTCTGTGTTCAGAACTCAACTCAATTATGTATGAGCTATGTAAATGTTTCCTAGCCTGCTGTGAGCTTCGTCTGTAATGTATAGTTACTGTAATCTGCTTTCCTAACCACATGTCTGACACATAGAAAAAGATCAGTAAGAATAAAAAAATTAAAAATGAATTAAATCTTCCCTAGTCCAGTCCTAAACCAGTTTGGTCTAAGGGCTGCCATGTGATGATTTATCATCCAGTTACAGGTTGTGAGGTTGGCCCAGTTCTGAGTGGCTTTTCACAATGTTTTGAGTATCATTCAGGCATAATATGTGGTGGGAGTAAGGTCCTCAAAAGGAGAAATTTCTGTGACCTGGACCAAAATGAGAAATGTCTTAAGAGAGAATTTCCTTTTCTAATCTATGTTAAAAGTAGGGTGGTGAATCTAAAATACAGATAGCATTACAATAATGATTATTTTAATAAAACCTCAACACTTGGAGATTTTATTTTCATTTGGATAGGGTAGAATTACGCTTCATTCATGTGGTGTGTGGGACTAAGGATGATTGTTACATATACTTAAATGTGAATTCTGACAAACAGGGTGGCAGAAACAAGTTCTTCTGTCTATAAGCTAATATTTCTGAGCAAATTCTTGGCATAAAATCCTAGTCATATGCTTTAAATTATATTTTAGTTGAGAAATATAGTAACATATATAAGCTGTATGTTCAGCTTCATTATAGTAACATATAAGCTGTATTTTTTTTCTGATTTTTCGTGTCTCTGATTAATGCCATTTCTAAAGTCAAGCTTCCTTTTCATTGTGTTCTTGTAACCATTAAATTTCCTACTCCATTTTTTTCTTACTGGTTTTAGAGCATGTGTCTCATCTGAAATTGCATGCAAAATATTGTATGACTCATTCTACAGAGTCAGAGGATAGTGACTCATAGGTTTCTAACCTCTTCTATAAATATAGGAATGTTCTCAAGCGCTTCTGGGGTCTGGATGCTGGTGGGTTCTGCAGCTGTACAAAATTGGGATGTGAGGTCTGGTTTCCTTTATTTCCTTTCAGGTGCCCGCTGGTATCCCTGTCATACATACCTAGAGCTGCCTCGGCTGCATTTCCGTATGGAGGGGTATTGGCTGGAACCTTGGAGAATGCTTCCTTTTGGGAACGGAAGATGGACTTTTCTCATTGGCCTCATGTACTGTCTTTGGAATCAGGGGGGTTTGTAGACTTCCAGATAGAAAGCAGTACCCGGCACTTTCTTGTGACTTATAGGCCTGGTAAGTATGGATGTCGTCTTGGGGGCAAGTATGGGATGTTCTTGTTTGGGAGTTTTGTACAGGGGTGGGGGAGAGAAGCAGAGCTTGCCCTGCTCTTCTGTTGTCACTAGTAAGCTCCTTAGGGACTTAACAGGTTAAGTTAACCACTTTTGCTGCTACTGTTTGGACGGTGGCCCAAGTTCATCCATTGAGCCTGCCTCCCTGCTTCTCACAGGTGTGAATTGGGACAAAGTCTTTCAAGTGCTTGATGGAAGCGAATTGGCCACTTTATGAACTCTACCCCCCATGACTCAAAACAGTAATGGAATAGAAAGCAACTTTTTTGATAATAAAAGTACTTTTCTAGGGGGTAATGGGATCATCATTAGGAGAAGGAAATAAAACTTTAGTTAAGACTTGTAGGGAAGAACCCAAGCAGAAATATGCAGAACCTTTTGCTGAAGTGGATAGAGCATTCTTAGAATTGTTTCTCTCACAGGCAAAAACTTACTGTAGATAATTTGCTGCATCCTAACCTAGGATTCTGAATTTCATTCGTGCTGTAGCGTTATGTTTGCTTCGTAACTATTCTTGATGGTACAAGAAATAGTGGCTTTTCTCCTTGGTGTGAGTGTCTGAGATATGAGGACTTGGTTGATTTCTTCGGACTTTCCTAATGGAGCAACACTGTTTTCTCTGACCTGTAGATAAAAATCACAATACCTTACGAAGTGTCCTAATGGAGATGTCCTATAAACTAGATGATGCTGGAGAGCCCATCTGTACCTGCCACCCTATTCAAACATTCCTAGGGGGACCCACTTGCAAATTACTGACCAAAAGTGCCATTTTCCAAAGTCCAGAGAATGATGGCAGTGTCCTGGTATGCCATGGGGATGAAGCATCAAATTCTGCCCTGGTGAGCCTCTAATTTATTTTTATACAAAAGTGTGTATGTGTAGTTTTTGGGTTTGTTTTACACATGTGAGTCACACTTTCCATGTCCTTATATAATTTAAATTTTCCCCTGTGCTGCTTTTAACTTCCTGTCTTAAGTTCTTTCCATTTCAATATCTGTAGATTCACCTCATTCTTTTAAAATTAAGTGAATGATAATGTCCCATGGGACATATTGTGAATGTTTAAAAATAAACATAACACCCCCCTATAAAATAATAGAATCAAGCATCAGCTTCATTAATTCAGGATGAAACCTAGGGATGAAAAGTTGATAGAGATTTTTCCCGTGGAAGGATCATCCTGTCATCACCTAACAATTAACTTGATAAATCTTAGCATCGCTGTAGGTGGGTTAAATAAAAAATAAATTATATCTTAATATGGTATGGTGCCTTCATTGAGAAGCCCTTGAAAGCAAAGCTAGTCAAGCCTTAGAACAATGCCTCCAAAATAGCCACACTAGCTACATAAGCACTTGGAATGTGATTAGAATGATTGACAAACTTTTTTTTTTTTTTTAACTTAAATATAAATGGTCTTAGGTGGCAGCTGGCCACTATATTGGCTAACACCACTCTAGAGTTCAGTGCTAACTTTCATTAGACTTGCAGAGAGTAGAGGAACAAGTTAAATAAAAACACAACAAGTAAAAAGATAGATTTCAGTTGTAGATACCCTATGGGACAGGTCACCCATCTTTATAAAGCACTAGCAAACAATGGAGGGGTTGGATGTGTTCTACATTGAAACTTAATAGTTTATATATACTGTGGACTTCACTTGACTCTTGATTCAAACCAAATGTAAAAAGTGACTTATCTGAAAATTACTTTTTTAAGATTTACCTATTTATGGGTACAAAAGCTTGGGTATAGGCCAGAGGTGCATGGGTGGGGGGAGGGGGAGAGGATTCACAAGAGGCAAGAGTAGGGAGCAGAACTGGTAGATCTGTTGAAACACACTGCTGAGGGGAGCAGCGGGTAAGACAAGAGGGCTGCTGCGCCCTGTGGGTCAGCTCCCTGGCCGGGGACCCATTGTGCTGTAGTGGCTGCCGTAGCTTCATAGTGCTGAGATTTAATTTGCACCACCAGGAGGGGACTAACAAAATTTTGATTATGCACTTGGTGTTAGATAATAGTACAAAATTAATATTTATTTGATTGACCATGATATAACAGTTTTTAGAAAATGGCTTTTTTTAGACCTGCAGACTTAAGATGAACGGATAAAACAGACATGGTAAAAACTTAATAATCTAAGTGATGAATGGCATGATGTGTCTTTTTATATATATAATATAATTTCATTGTTTATTTCTCATGGCAACCTCTTCCTTATGTTTGTCTCTTACTGTTGATCTTTTCATTGCTCTTTGTTTCTCTTTTGCTCTTTGCTTCTCACAGTTTATTATAACAATGAAATAAATTTTCTAACATTTACTTCTTTATATCTCAGAATGTGAACTTAGGAATAGGTTGTTGCATATATATTAAGAAGAGATGATCCTGGAACATCTACTATGACTTGTTCTAAAGCTGCTGCTTTGCAGAGGGTTGGCAGTTTCTCCATAAGAATTCTTTAAGTTGTGTTGTAGCCAATGTATGAAAAGGAAGGGAGAGATACTTCTGCTGATACTTTACCAGTAAGAATCCAGTTGCTACTAAACTAACTAAAAGTGAGGGATCTGCTGTCCTGCATTCCTTCTTGGCGGCTCTAACGGAGAGTGGTTTTATATTTTCCCGCCTTTAGAAACTACCTGCATTCCTTCTTGTTGCCCTGTTATATTCAAAGCCAGAAATGACTGATGGAGTCTTTCTCTATTTTTCTCATTATTGCTCCCTTTTTTCCCATAGTCAAGTTTTGTTTTCGTAAGTAAAGCATGTTAGAAGATAGGTACCATGAGGGCAGGGACAGAGTTTTTTGTCTTAATTGATCTTTCTGTCCCTAGAAGAGACAGTATCCAGAGGAGTGTTTGGCGCATAGATTGCAGGGTGTGTGCTAGACTTGGTTTCAGATCACTTGTGAGTAAATTTTAATTGCTGATTGCAGTGATTGTAGATGAGGCCATAGCTGAACTACGTTGGGTGTGCTAGTTTTGCACAACTTTGTGAAAGTTAGGGACTTTCTATTCTGCTCCCTGAACAATGTTCTCCCTGCAGCTTTTTCAAGTGTTTTCCCATCTGAATTGAATGACTTCTGACCTTTCTCTCTGCTTGTCTTCTTTAGCTGTGGGATGCTGGCAGTGGCTCATTACTGCAAGGTCTGCAGACTGATCAGCCCGTCTTGGACATCTGCCCATTTGAAGCGAACCATTCTAACTACTTGGCTACCTTAACAGAGAAGACAGTCCACATCTATAGGTGGGAGTGACCAATAGTCTTGAAACTTACCAGGCATGCTGCCACTTAACATTAAATGTTTGCTAGCACCCAACAGCCTTGGCAAAGATTCCCTCGTTACTGTCTGTGGCCTTGAACTTTTGGGAAACATGTTCCTTTGGGTAAGTATGATTCTAGGACGCTGAGTCTCTGCAGGTTGTCTTATTTACAGTGGCTATCGAAAGAGTGACTGGCATTACATGTACATTATCCATTTCTTAAGTTTTAAGCCTTTGAGTCTTCATTGAGGATCTTTCTTTCAATTAGACTTTTGCTAGATCGCCAGGAACATCCTCCTAGCATCCATTTAGCATGTGAGTGTGCACCAAGCATTTTCTGGGGGAGGTGACACCTCCAATGAGTGATCTTAGCACTTGGTCTGTTTGGCTTGAGAATGCTTATGTCTTAAAGAGACTAAACCATCTTTGGCTGCATCTTGGATATAAAAGAGCTCAGTTGAACACAAGAGGGCATTATAAAACCTTGTGTGGGATTTGATCTGTTTCTGACCGTGTGAGCACATCTGTTCTGCTTTGTGGCAACAACATTTACAGTCCACGTATGCAAGTTCTGGGATATTGGAAAGCCCAGTGATGGAGGCAGCTGTTGCGCTTTGACCCTGCTCCCTTTCTTCTAGGCCCTTTTCTAATGCCAACTGCATTACGTTCCTGACAGTGTGGGAGTTGAGGGAAGAGGCCAGTTATTTGAGCAGTAGGGGAGACTCATTTTTTTCTAGCCTTAGGTTCTCAAGATGACTGAAGTAACCCGGTGCTTAGAAGACTTCTCCTTTCCCCCCACTAACAAAGATGAACAGCAATAACATCAGAACTTTTAACTTGATTCTCTCTTTGTGTTAAATATCAGGAGTAAGGAGCTAACTAGGAGAGACTTTTAAAAAATGCTCAAACTGCTGCTGCTGAAAATAGGAGAAGAGTTTGTTTCTTCTATTTTGAAAGAGTCCTTATCTGAATAAAGCCAGCTTCTCAAAGGGGGCTGTTATTTAGTTTATAATTTTTCAGGTAAATCTATCTTCATGTAAAGCTGATACTTGGTTTCTCTGGCTTGTGTCCCCTTTGCCCTCCCTTTTTTTCCCCAAAAGTGTTTGTAAAATGGTTATTCTCAGGAAGACAATGGTGGTTGGAAACCTGTGTGGATTACAGAGAGCTATTCAGTAACATTAACTCCATATATTCCAACCTTAGCTGCACTTTCCCCCAATAGAGCATTCAGTTTGTTTGCTCTCTCTAAGGCAACTTTGCTTAACTGCTGTCCACAACAGTACATGCTGCAAAATGTGGGTAGTCAGTTCACTGTTCTTGGGAGCAGGGTAGCTAAACTAGTAATTTTCTTAAATTGTATAAATGTTATTTTTATTTTGAAACAGTCCTAGCCTGTCAACTCCTGAGCTGTTGCCAGTATTTCTCTGTAGTGAGGACTTATTGTTGTTAGGTTTCCCCAGATTTCCAAGTCCTAGTTAGACCTTTTTAAGAGTAGCCTCCTTTAAGGACATCTTTCCAAAAAAATCAGTTTCCAGAAATTGAGAGAAATCCCTTATTTCTCAAAGGAGATACTCCTTTTGAAGTGTTGGTGTTTAAGAATGACTTCACAGGCCTAAAGCTTGGTGGCAGAAAGGGAGTTCAGTTAAAAAGCAGAACTCATTTACTTTCAGCATATTGTCACAGAGGATGCAGGTGGTCAAGCCCTGACTGCCATTCTGTTTGGCAGAGTCAAAACCCAGCATAGGGCTAAGATCTAAGTAATGTTTGGAATATACACAATTAATGTAGATTGAATCCCATAAGCTTTGAAACCAGGGGACTTACTACCAGGGAAATTGGGTGAATCTTACATCTTTCAATCCTGTACTCCTCTAGTGAAGAAATTCATGTAACTATAGCTGATTTCTCCCAAGGAAGAAACTTAGCCTCTAACCATCCCCAACTTCCACCCTTTCTGCCTGGCAGAAAACGTCTCTAGACCCAGGCTCTGGTATCCTGTGTAACACCAGACTCTGCTGGTCTGGTTTTCTCACCCCTATGTCAAAGATTTTCCCATTTGAGGGTTTGGAATTAATCAGATTCAAAAGATCTTGTAGCTATGTACCTCTTTTTAAAACATCAGTGAAGTGTCTATGTTCTTGTGTGTGTGTTTTCTATTTTTAATGTTTATGTTTCATGTTTTAATGTTAATATGAAAATAAAGATTTGCTGTGTGGAATATCTCTTGGTGGTTTGTCTTCTTAATGGCCACAGGTATGAATATTGTGGTAGATTTTCCATTTCATACAGTATTAGTTGATGAACTGCATGAATTAGAAGAATTAACATTGTTACTGATATAATGGCCAGTTTAATCATAACAGTGTACAGATTCAATACAATCCCCATTAAAATTCTGATGGCAATCTTCAAGAAAATAGAGCAAATGCTACTAAAATTTGTGTTGCATCACAAAAGACCCCAAACAGCCAAAGTAATCCTGTGAAATTTAACTACACAGTAAGGCAATAGTAGTTAACAGAGTGTGACACTGGAATAAAAATAGACACATATCAGTAGAACGCAATTGAGAGCATAGAAATAAGCCTGCGTGGACAGTTAATTTACAACATTGGAGCCAAGAGCATAGGATAGAAACAAGCAAGTGTCCAACGAATGATACTGAAAAGGTGACAAACACAAGAAAATGACAGTATGCCACTATTTCATACCATATACAAAAAGTAGTTAAGTGGATTTAAAAATTGGATGTAGTAACTGAAATCATAAACCACATAGAGGGTTGGTGGCTCAACGATTTAAAACACAGCACTATGAAGCTATTGCAGCCACTGCAGCATGAGTTCAATTCCTTGCCAGGGAGGTGACCCACAGGGCACAGCAGACCTCTCTTGTCTCCCCCACTGCTCCCTTCAGCAGTGTACTTCAATGATCTGTCTGTTCTGCTTCCTGCTCTGTCTCTGGTAATTCTCTCACCAGAATCCACACACCTCTGACCTGTACCCCAGTTCTGTATGCATAAATAAACCTTAAAATTTTATTTTTAAATAAACCTGAAACTCTGGGGCTCTCCCTGGTGGTGCAGTGGGTTAAAGCACAGCACTATGAAGCTGTTGTCAGCCACTGCAGCATGAGTTTGATCCCTGGCCACGGTGCAGCAGGCCTCTCCTGATGTGCCTGCTGCTCCCCTCAGCAGTGTTTTTAAGTCAACCTGCCTGTTCTGCTCCCCACTCTGTTTCTGGTGAATAGCTTCACAGTGCTGTGCTTTAACCCATTGCACCAGCAGGGAGGGCCACCATGCTTTAAGCTTTAATTAAATATTTATCAACAGGAGGAGGTGTTGGAGCTGGCATCTCATGGAGGCAGGGGGAAATAACCCAGGTGTTCCACTTGGGTGCCTTCTGGGTGTACTCCATTGGCCCTCTGTACCTGAGCAGACATGTGCAACAATACCATACCACTCTGAGGCAGGTATGGTCACCATGGATTCAAACACCACCACACCAGGAATGAAGGCTTGGGTCACATCATCAGGTAAGCGCCCCAGATTTCTGAGGTGCTAGTTGAGGGACAGAAAGGATGAATACCAGTTATAGCCCTGAGGTCATTTGCAAAAAGGATGTTAGCTTATCCCACTAGGCTCTGTCTTCTGAGTTTTTCCCTTACAGAGATTCCTGGAAGCTATGGAGTAGAGTTCATCAAATGTGTATGGAGAAATCTGTGGGGCACAAGAAGTCAAATGTGGCAGTAATGAAGATTTGCCTTCCAGAGCAATGAAGATTTGCCAGGAGGAGTGTAATTGGCCAGGGGCCCCAGTTGCTGGTCTGAAATCTATCATTGTGTTCAATCTGAGGCCAGGATTCCTAGCCAGAGACTGAGCATGGCAAAATGCTAAAGCAGGCCTATCCGGGGCAGTTTTCATCTTCATTAGTCTCTTCCATTGCTAATCTTGTCTGGCAGTTGTTTCTCAGGAAACTCAGACTAGCCCACTACTAGGCAAATGGTGGAATAGATAACAAAACCCAGTCTTCACAGACTCTCCTAACCACACTATCCCCCAGGAAATGTGTAGGAGGTACTCCAAAAATAGTTGCTGAATAAATGAATGAATATAAAAATGACAGGTTGACAAGGTCTTAATTTTCCTAAGGGAAGTTCAAAAATGTTGAGACTTGAAATGAGCATTAAAGAAAGATTAAGATGGGGACCTACCTGGTGGTGCAGGGATTAAAGACAGCACTATCAAGCTATCACTGCCACTGCAGCATGAATTCAATCCCCCTATCACACACGTGCAGCAGAACTCTCCTGTCCTGCCTGCTGCTCCCCTCAGCAGTGTATTTCAGTAGATCTCCCTGTTCTCCCCACTCTGGTGAATCTTCTCACCTCTGACCTGCATCCCAGTTCTTGTATACACAAATGTTTAAAACAGAAAAAATTAGGGTGAAAAATTTTGGAATTTCATGGGTCAATGTTTTCTCTCCATGTGGAAATCCTCCTTAATGGTAGAGAGGTCAGGAAGTTGCCTGAGAAAAGAGAAACCACCTGTGCAGTCCTGAACCAGGCAGGGGCCAGTGCTGGGTGACTGGGGGGAAGCACGCGTCAAGATAACACCATTGGAAAACTTTGGAAATTGCTCCAGATGATTGAGCCGCTCAGACAAACTTGGGAAAGTATTACCATACCTTGAAGCTGCCATAGCCTTACAAGTGTAAGAAGAGGGAGGGGAGGGCTTTGCCAATCACTTCATTTTACGTGGCTTGCTCAAACGATGAGAGCAAACAGTGGGCCTTAGGAAGTAGAAAGCTTTTAGTCGCTCAACGGGTGGAGACTTCTTGACCAGTTCAGTAAATTTTTTCTTCAAAGATTTATTTATGCATACAAGAGTGGGGGGTATAGGCCAGAGGTGCAGGGGATAAGAGGGTTCACCAGAGACAGAGTGGGGAGTGGAGCAGGTGGATCTACTGAAAGACACTGCTGAGGGGAGCAGCGGGAGAGACAGGAGAGGTCTGCTATGCCATGTCGGTCATCTCCCAGGCAGGCCCAGGGATCAAACTTTTGCTGCAGTGGCTGACAGTAGCTTGACAGCACTGTCTTAACCACCCTGCGCCACCAAGGAGGACCCCAGTTCAGTAAGTCTTTAATGACCTCTGTGTGCCCTGCATCATGCTAAGCACTGTAAGGGTAGTTGTGAGGGGTTAGAGGCCCTACCTTTACTAGCTCTTGCCTGGAGCATGAATCACACTCCTGCTGAAAACCCTCCAAAGGTTTCCCATTGCATTTATGTATGTATTGAAGATCTATTTATGCATATAAGAATTGGGGTGTAGGCTATAGGTGGGGTGAGAGGCTTCACCAGAGACAGTGGGGAGCACTGAAACACAGATGTACTGAAACACTGCTGAAGGGAGCGGCAGGTGAGACAGGAGAGGTCTACTGTGCCATGTGGGTCAGCTCCCTGGCCTGGGACTGAACTTGTGCTGCAGTAGCTGCTTCACAGTGCTGTGCTTTTACTCCTTGCACCACCAGGGAGGGCCCTCCATTTGATTATTTTTATAGAATCTAATTTTTTGTTGAAATCCTCTATTTTTTAAATATTTTATCTAATTTTAAATCATTTATTCGTCACAATTATTTTAAAGACCTCTTCTGATAAATACAGACAGTTCTCTGACCCCTTATTTCTTTTGCTTTCGGTTATTTTCGTTCAGCTTTGTTTTTAGCATGCTTTATAATTGTTGATTCAATGTGGAACCATGAAGATAAAATATTGTAGCAGCTCTGGGTGGTGTTCTCCTCCAAAAAGGTTAAGTTTTCTTCTTGGTGGGTCACCTTGATTGCACTGAGACATGTTTTCAGCTTTGTTAGGGCTGGCCTATTGTATGTGGAATGCATCACGAATTTGCGTGTCATCACTGCATAGGGACCAGGCTAATCTCTGTAGTGTTCCATTTTTAGAATATGTGCTGCTGAATGATCACTGGCCTATTGTAGTTTTGCCCTTTCTTCTAGGACAAGGTCTTCACTCCTACTAGAGTGTGGTCCTTCCTGCTGGAGTAGAGCCTTTCCTCCTTGGGTGTCGGCTTTCTGAGGGCTCAGCTGAAAAATTAAGTGTTTGCCCAGGCCTCTGCGCCTCAGTGGGGTGTAAACTCTAACTGCTTCTCCAGCTCCTGTGGGTCTGCTGGAATCTCTCTAGTTTGTTACTCTCTCAGCTCTTGTTTTCTTCAGGATTTGTTGGAATCTCACCCTGTACGTGCACAACTTAGGAGTCAGCTGGTGACTTGAGAGAGTTTTCAGGCTTTTGACTCTTTCTGTGGTTCCCTTCTCCCCTACTTTGACCTTTCAGTCCCTGTAACTTCAAGGACTCTTCAACTTCTGTGTATTTTTATTCCAATAAGATTGCAGCTTATTACAGAGGGAAGATCCCTGTGAGCTACAATTTGGACAGTACACTCAGGAAAAAAGTCTGGAAAAAAAGAAAGACAAAAATTTCTGGGTAAAGTTTTCTTATTTATTTCTCTTTTCTCAAAGATTGTAGGCCTTCATTTCCTGACTGGAAGATTACTTTATAAACCCCTCCATAGGTGTTTTATGTTTTTTCCTAGCTTCTATGATTTCTTTTTTTTTTTTTTAAAGATTTATTTATTTGTACAGAACTGGGGTACAGGCCAGAGGCTCAGGGGCGGCGAGAGGCCTCACCAGAGACAGAGTGGGGAACAGAACAGGCAGATCGAGGAAGTACACTGCTGAGGGGAGCAGCGGGCGGGTCAGGAGAGGTCTGCCACACCATGTGGTCACCTCCGGGGCAGGCGGGAATCGAACTCATGCGGAAGCGGCTTTAGATTCTCAGTGCTGTGCTTTAACCCGCTGCGCCACCAGGGAGGGCCTTTTTTTTTTTTTAAGATTTATTTTATTTATGCATGCAGAACTGGGGTACAGGCCAGAGATGCAGGGGTGGTGAGAAGATTCACCAGAGACAGACTGGGGTCAGAACAGGTTGACTGACAAAGTACACTGCTGAGGGGAGCAGCAGGCAAGACAGGAGAGGTCTGCTGCACCCTGTGGGTCACCTTCAGGGCTGGGGTTGAACAAACACTGAAGTGGCTGTAGCTACCTTGGATTAGTGGCTGTGCCCTAATCCATTGCACAACCAGGGAGGACCGCTTCTGTGGTTTCAATTCAGTGGAAATACAAACTTTTCCTCATGGGTGGAATTAGAAGTCTTCCCAATTACATAAATATGCAGGGCTTCCAGGGCCCACTGTGACTTGACCCCTGACCAGTTCACTGACCCCTTCTACAGACACACTACAGAGCTTTTGTAGATTTGACTCCAGACCATCACATTAAAGTGAATATTATAGGATCCTCCCTGGTGGCATAATGGGTTAAAGCTCAGCACTATGAAGCTATCTGTAGCCACTACGGCACAAGTTCGATCCCTGGCCAGGGATCTGACCCATATGGTGTGGCAGACCTCTCCTGCCTTGCCTGCTGTTTCCCTCAGCAGTGTTTTCCAGTGGATCTACCTGTTCTACTCCCCACTCTGTCTCTGGTAAATCCTCTCAACCCCTGCACCTCTGGCCTATACCCATCTCAGTTGTAATTCCCTTGGGCTTCCCATCACCAATTTACCCATGTGCCATCACCATAGTCCAGTGCACTTTCCCTCTCACCCTCTCATTTTTGATCCCATTCTCCACTCCACCCCCTTAAAATGTCTCTGGTATATAGTTACTTATTATTATTATTATCCCCCCCCCCCGGTCCTTTATACTCCTGCTATGAGTGAAACCATCTGGTATTTTCCCTTTTCTTTCTGGCTTATTTCACTAAGCATGATCCCTTCCAGTAGAGCATGTTTTATCTTGCTGTATGGTGGATGGCAGAGCCTATTTAGAGTGGACAGTTTTGAGGTTTCCTGGCATGCCCCTCACCCTGCCCTATAACAAACTCTCTTCTCAGTGCTTGCAGACTTGTTCCTGATGTTGACTCTAGGTTTGTCTGACATAGTCTAAGCATTTCTAGATTTCTCTCAGTTCCTTGCTTCTTGATCACTGTGATTTAAAGATAAGCACGTATACTTCTCCCTATCTCTGAAAACAGTCTGTGGCTAAGTGTAGTTTCCTTAGCATAATGTGAGAGATAAACAACTGCTGACTTCTCTATTTCTAGCATACTTCTAGCCTTAAAACGGTTTCAAATAAGCTTCCACTTGCCTCAATACATACAGGCCCATCTTTGAAAATTAATGAGTCCTAGAGATTTTTTCAGGAGCTTCTAGCAATAGCTCTAGCCTGCCATATTAAGACTTACCTATGCCATGTACACTGGTTTCTCCTTATCTACAGGGGATACTTTCCAAGATTCACAGTGGATGCCTGATACCTCAGATAGCATCAAGTCGTAAACACACACACACACACACACACACACACACACACATACACACACTGTTTTTTCCTATGCATTCATAACTGTGGCAACATTTAATTTATAAATTAGTCACAGTAAGAGATTTCTAACATTGTAAAATAATTATACTCTAATAGAAGTTATGTGAATGGTTTTCCTCTCAAAATATCTTATTTACAAAATATTTGGTTATTCACACAATATGTAATTGGCTGCAGGTAACTGAAACCTTGAAAAACAAAAGTGTAGCCACAGGTGAAGGTGGAGATATTACGGAAGTTAGTGAGCATGTACATTCATCTGGTCTGTTCTGACTGCCTTCATCAATGTTCAAGTGTGGCAATAACTTCAGGACAATTTGATGGCAGTAACAAGGGTGATAACGAAGAACACAAAATGCCTGATTCCCAGAGATAGAGTCCTGGATCCATCACATTGCATTCTTATGGGCTTCTTAAAGGATCCATACCCACCCCTCCACCTCTTCTAGATATGGCCAATCTGGTCTTCACTTCCCATTTAGGGTGAGAGTACACCAGGGCAGTGGAAAGCCCCAGGATTCTAGTGGCAGGCTGGCCCAGTTCACCCTGTTGCTGGTCATCTGACCTTGCTGAAGAGAAATATTAACACATCTTTGCCGTTCTTTGCTTGAATTAGAACCCAAAGGACATAATGAATGTGAAGATGCCTTGGGAAGATACCATTTCTCCTAAAGTACACTGGTGTGAGATGTCTCAGCCCAAGTGCTGCTGGAGGTGCTGTTAGCAATAAGGGCTACAGGCATAAATGTAATGTTTTGTTACTTTCTTTCTCTTCTTTAAACATGAGTTCAAGTTCTGTGTTAGACTCAAGACTCAGGGGAGAACTTAAAAGTTTATTTAAAAAACTGGCATACGACATAAAAACACTGATTCAAAAAGACACCTGCACCTCCATGTTTATTGCTGCTTTGTTTACAATAGGAAAGACATGGAAACAGCCCAAATGCCCAAAAGTAGATGACTGGATTAAAAAGATGTGGTACATATACACAATAGAATATTACACAGCAATCAAAAAAGATAAACACGTGCATTTTGCAGCAACATGCATGGAGCTGAAGGGATCATGGTTAGTGAAATAAACCAGAAAGAAAAGGAAAATTACTAGGTGGTTTTGTAACAGGTTGGTCCCTAGGAAAAGGAGAAGTTCCAGGTTCTGTGCCCCACCCAGAAAGAGGGTGGAGCTGAGCAGAGAAAAAGGAGAGAAGCTGAGAAAGAAAGAGGAGAAGAGAAGGAAGCTGGATGGAGAACAAGAAGGGGACCTGAGGAAACCACATGGAGCAGCAAGCATGTGATGAAGAAACCGTGTTTGTTTCCTGATTCCAGACTGGTTAAGGCAGATGTGGGTGAGATACCTGCAGGGAGGTGACTATGGCAGTGTTTATATTGATTTTGATTTTGCTCTTTTCCTCCCAGACTTGTCTGGCCATTTTGGACCCTTTTCCATGGGTCCCGGCCAGAAGGTGCTTTAGTCTTGCGGCAGCTTTCAGGCTTTGCTTTGGGCCAATCCCTTTTGGGTTGACTTTTGTCCACGAGGGGATGGGTAACTTCAGGTGTTTGATTTAGAAGTTATATTCTCTGTGTTCCGTATTGTATATTTACTGTATTAAAGTCCCTTTTCATTAAAGTTTATATGTTTTGTCTTGTTGTGGTGGATGGCAGAACCCACTTAGAGCAGGCAGGTTTGGGGATTCAGGGGTGCCCCTCTCCCCCTGTCCTCTAACAGATTTTGTCCTGAAACAGATTTGGTGTCCTATAACACTTTCACTCATAGCAGGAGTATAAAGGACCAGGGGAGAAAATAATAATAATGAACAACTATATACCAGAGACATTTTACAGGGGTGAGGTGGGGAATGGGACCAAAAATGGGGGGAGGAGGGAAGTGCACTGGACTATGGTGATGGCACACGGGTGAATTGGTGGTGGGAAGCCAATGGGCATTACAACTGAGATGGAAAAAGGCACAGAATGCTGTAAAAATAAACTATTATATTATTAAAAAAAAAAAAAGCTGACCACTGGCCATAACTGGGGCCTCCTTGGTGGTACAAGGGGTTAAAGCACAGCACTATGAGGTGATCCCCAGCCAGGGAGCTGAGCCACAGGACTGCTGCACACCTCTCCTGTCTTGCCCACTGCTCTCCTCAGCAGTGTGTTTCAACAAATCTGCCTATTCTGCTTTCTGCTCTGTCTCTGGTGAATCCTCTCACTGCTCCCACACCTCTGGCCTGCACCCTAGTTCTGTATACATAAGTAAATAAATCTTAAAAAAAAAAAATACTGGCCATAACTCCATAACTCTGAGCTCCCTATGTGTGAACCAGGAACTTTCCTGACTAGCATCAGTGTTCACAATTGTACTTCACATTGTTCTTCCTTTTCTTTCTCAGAGGAGTTGACTGAAGCTCAGACATGTTAAAGAACTTGTGTAGTCTGCAGAAGAGCAAGGGTTATAACCAGCTCGTTAGTTATCCCGGAACCTGTGCTTCGAACCCTTCGTCAAAGCTGCCTTCTTGGCTTAAGAAAACTTTGAGGCAGATGGAAGGAAACAGGAAGCCTGGAATACAACTGAGCCTGTGAACCACCTCTACACATAAAGTTAGATTGTGTGTGTGTGTGTTTTCTTTCAAGTCATCGAATGAATGACCTACTCTACCGGCCATCTTGGTTGTGGCACCCCCAATTCCTTTTCCATTTTTCTTTGACAACTAAAGGAACTAGGCAAAGCCGCCCTATCCCGGCCTTCTAAGGTGCACCCACACATTCCCGGGCAGAGAGCGTCGCTTTCCCGACTTGCGAGGTCGAGGGCACAGGCAAGGGGCCAGCACCGCGTCCGGTGAGGCGCCACATCCAACTCGCGGGTCGCGCCGGCGGGGGCGGAGCCCGGGGGGGGGGGCCGCCGCCGCGCCCGAGGCTCCGCCCCTCATTTAAATACGCGGCGCCGACGGGTGCGTCGAGCTCGCCGCGGACCCAAGATGGCGGCGTGTGGACGTGTACGGAGGATGTTCCGCTTGTCGGCGGCGCTGCAGCTGCTGCTGCTCGCCGCGGCCGGGGCCGAGAGATTCCCGAGCCAGGGCGGCCACAGCCAGGGCCAGGGCCCTGCGCCTAACTTTGTGTCCTTCATAGGGCAGGCTGGAGGCGGCGGGCAGGGGGGTCAGCAGCTGCTCCAGCTGCCTCAGTCATCTCAGCACCAGCACCAGCAGCAGCAGCAGCAGCAGCAGCAACAGCAGCAACAGCAGCAGCAACAACCGCCTCAGCCGCCGCAGCCGCCTTTCCCGGCGGGTGGGCCTCCGGCCCGGCGGGGCGCAGCGGGACCCGGAGGGGCTGGCGGGGGCTGGAAGCTGGCGGAGGAAGAGTTCTGCAGGGAGGACGTGACCCGTGTGTGCCCCAAGCACACCTGGAGCAACAACCTGGCGGTGCTCGAGTGCCTGCAGGACGTGAGGGAGGTGAGGAGACGCGCCGGGCCGGGAGGCCGGGCCTGGCGCGGCCCGAGGCTGTCGCGGGCCTTGGAAGCTGCTGACGCGGATCTGCTGCTGCTCGCCGTCCTCTGTGCGGCTCTCGCGCCTTCTCTCCCGGCCCTGCTCCCGGGCGCATTCCGAGCGAACCCCACCCTCACCCCTGCGTCGCCTCCCTGGGGCGGGGGTCTGGGGCGCGGACCCCGGTTTGTGGCTGCCATCGGCGAAGGCCCTGAGCGTGTTTATGTTTGCTCTGGTCTTTTGTGTGATGCTGGAAGCACCGAGGCGCCTGGGTTTTGCCATCGCTTTCGACTTGGCCAAATTTGTAGCAACCTTTTCAAGACATGAAAAATGGTTGGCGTACGTTGGCTGCTCGAGAATGAGCTGCGGTTCCCGGGGAGTGTACAGGTTTGGGTAACTCGGGTTCTGTTCAGATGGGTAGTCTAGTCAACAGCCGAGTTTACTGGCTTTACCCCATTCTTTTGTCACTCGTGAATTCTGTTGTCCACGGGGTGCTGAAACGAACCGTCTTTTCTCTAATTTTGGTCAGTTTGTAGTGACTTTCAAGTTTAAATTGCTACCTCAAGTAGCTTGAGGAGTTGGGGCAGCTGGAATGCACTTACAGTATTTGTGATTGGACTGGAGGGTCTCGTCTTTCCGACGTCTGAATTGTGATTTCAGCAGTACCTCTTAGTGAAATCTAGACTTCATGTTGATGGGATTCCGTCAAGTAACAGAACTTCGTCACGGAATGTTTGTATTTGTGATGCAGATGTAGGTGCATATTTGACAATTCTCAAAAGTGCGAGAGTAAATCTTAAATCTGGCAGAGATAACTTTCTTTTTTGAGGTTCGGGCATATAGAATTAGGCCTAACAGTTGACAAGTATAGTGAAGCTGCTGTTTTACACAGTTTTGTTTGGTAAATTATTTCATCAGAATTATCTAAGGTGTTAGATAATTATCTAGGTTGAGAGAAAAACATCTATTATATACCCTCAAAAAGAATTTCCAGCACTTTGCCAGAGTTAAGAATCTTAGCTGTATCTATAATACCAGAGGAGTGGCTGACAAATAGTAACAGGGAAATGTCCTTCAAGTTTGCTAGTTACAGATGAGAAGTCATCGAAGCCTCTACAGGAGCCTTCGAAGGATCTTGGGAAGACCGCTGGTTTGTAAGAAATTATGCTGTGTTGGCAGTCCTTCCCTCACCGGGTCCTAGTCTCACTGTGTATTTGCTCTAGTATCCTATTCCGAGTAATATACAAGAGGAAAAGACTGGCATAGTTAGGAGACAGCCAGAAAGGAAGTTTCTGGAGCCATCAGAAATGTGGAGCCTTCGATGATTTCTTATCTATAACTAGCAAACTTGAAGGACAATTCCCTGTTACTCTATTTGTCAGCCACTCCTCTGGTATTAATAGATACAGCTAAGATTCTTAACTCTGGCAAGGTGCTGGAAATTCTTTTTGGTCTTTGAGGGTATATAATAGATGTTTGTTTCTCAAGCTAGTATCCCACCACTGGAGACCACTTTGTGGTTTGTGGCAGAAATAGGACTTTATGAAGAAAAGTGGCAAAAAGTGTCATGTTCAAGTGCTTGTCTCCTTTCTTTACGTGCATTAGAGACATTGAGAAACTTACAGAAACAGTCTTCATTTTCCTTTGACCAGTGCATGAAGAATTGTGTAGCAGCATATTCTATAAATAACTTAGATATGACCAGTTTTGGAGTCTAGGTAGTATCTTCCTCGCATTCTTTAGTGTAGACTCACTCTACTTTAAGCTTCTCAGCAAAAATATTGTTTCAGTGCAAAAATACCTTTGACTTGAAATTGTGCCCCATAAAAAGCTCAAGGAAATACCAAATAGGGAGCTGTGTTTTCTTCTAGCAGGGTCCACTGGAGTGGCATTAAACAGTGAGACAACTTAAAAAAAAGAATTATTTCAGTAACTACAGCTTTCTTCTTTTGTGGAAGAAGACATTTAAATGCTATGATAATTACTGGACCTGTATTTCCTTTGTAACTATCCAGAGTATCTAATTCAGTGTTGAGAAACAGTAAATGTTGTCTACTGGTTGAGAATGAGTAAATTAATGGAGTCAGGTTTTTTTAAATACCTTTTACAAAGTATATTACTTTTATTTCAATTATTAGTGCAATTTAATGAATATGTCAAGCTCTCTTTCCTTAAGTTATTATATCTGCTTCCTTCCCTACCAGTTCTTTTCAATTTCCAAAGTACAATAAATTCAGGATATAAATACAGTACATATGCTGAAGTAAAGTTAAGTATATCTTGAAACCTCTCTAGGGAGAGCGGTGATATTAATGAAATAGATTTTAGAAAATATTTAAGGCTACACTTTGTATGTATATATAATGTCAGAGACAAAGATTGTGTTATTTCTGATATAATACATTTTTTTCTGACATATGAATAATTTCAAACTTTAAATCTCAAATGAAAAAGAGGAAAAAGACAGAGGGAAGTAGAATCAGTTTTATGCTCCAATGGAAGAAAAGATGTTAAGTAAATTGGAGGTGGGTTTTTGGGAGCCGGGGAGGATTCCAAATTTTCAATTTAATTTCCTCCAGTTTTCTATACATGAAAATTGAAAGAAGAGTACCATGAATAAACTGTATATTCTTCTGGAGGTAGAGCTATTTTTAAACTACCTTTTTTTTTGTTTAAAGACAGCAAAGGGAAATTTTATTCCACTAAGTTCAAGAATTAGTCATATCTGATGTATATTTGAAAGAGCATACTTAATTAAATAACTAGCTTGCATATTCGCAGAGAAATTATTGAATATTGTATTTGCTGTTCAATAATTGAACTCCTTGATGTGGAAGTAAGTATGGGTGCTTCTTTATTTCTCTGTATTTCTTTTTTAAAGATTTATTGTGTAGAAGAAGTGGGGTGTAGGCCAGAGGTGCTGGGGTGAGGTGGGGTGAGAGGATTCAAAAGAGACAGAGGAGGGAGCAGAACAGGCAGATTGACTGAAAATACACAGCTGAGGGGAGCAGTGGGAGGGTCAGGAGAGGTACCGCCCATGTGGGCCACCTCCCTGGCTGGGGATTGAACTTGTGCTGCAGTGGCTGCAGAGAGCTTCATGGTGCTGTGCTTTAACCCGTTGTGCTATCAGGGCGGGCCCAAGTTAAAATATTTTAAGGTTCTCTCTAGTGTAATGTTTAAAGTTATGTAGGAAATTTATTTAAAGTTATCTATGGTAATTTCAACTGAAACATGCATTATGTGCTGGAAAATTGAAAATCAGTGGATAAGCTATAGTAAAACTGCATAGAAATTAGTTCTGTAACACACTGTCTTCTTCATTTTGAAGGCATGTGTTATGTGGGAGATTTTTTTTTAACTCCCTAATGAGTCATACTTTTTAAAAGGTCATATATACCCAATGGGCCCACTATTAAGTAGATATAATAGTTGTAGTGGGGGATAGTAGTCTTGGTTATATGTATTTATGTAGCTAGTAGTAGTTCTAGCAGCAAAAATAATGTAAACTAGAAAGTGTAAGGAGAAAAAGGAAACCTATAGCCTGGGCTATTCTGCCAGGTGAAGAAGTCATACCAAAGGGGAAAAAAAGATACCGCTCTCTGGTATTCGATAAAGAAAAAAGACATGCTTTATGTTGAGAGTAGTTTTAAAATGCTTTATATGTATTTTGCACTGAAATCATTAGTAGCACCTTGTGATCAGAAGTTTTAGATGAAAACACTGGTCTCTTAGGAGAAGTTTGCCTGTAGTGTGTGCATAGTTTTTCTTAGACTTTTTTGGTTTTGGTAGATTAAAAAAAGTTCTTTCTTTTATGGAAACTGTCAAACATGCACATATGTGGGAGAATAATGTGATGACGCCCGTGTACACATCCACAGCTTCATGGTGGCCCTGCCTTTTTTTTTTTTTTAATTAATATATTTATGCATTCAGAACTGGGGTACAGGCCAGAGGTACAGGGGGTGAGAGATTGACCAGAGACAGAGTGGGGAGCACAACAGGCAGATTGACAAAGTACACTGCTGAGGGGAGCAGCGGGCGAGAGAGGAAAGGTCTGCTGTGCCATGTGGGTCACCTCTGAGGCGGGGATCAAGCTCTGCGCTGAAGTGGCTGCCACCAGCTTGCAGTGCCACTTTCAACTGCAGCGCCACCAGGGAGGGCCTTTTTTTTTTTTTCTTTTTAAAGTTCAGTAGTAGGAGGTGGTTCAGGGTTGGGAGACCGACATCTTCAAGCAAATCCATTCACTGCCATTTCACCATGTATGTCTCTGACAAGGAATAAAAATAAGTAAGTAAAGTTGAGGCCTGTGGTTTGTTTTTTAGTATTTCAAAAACATCTTGAAATATTTTGAGCACCATGGAACCTTATTAGGTTATGAATTTGTAGACCACTATCTGTAAGTTGTGTACAGCTTTATAAATACTTATTTGAGGGCCTCCCTGGTGGCACAGTGGTTAAGTCTCAGCACTATGAAGCTATTAGCAGCCAAGGAGCTGATCTACATGTCACAGCATGACACAGCAGACCTCTCCTTTCTCACCTGCTGCTCCCCTCAGCAGTATATTTCAGTGGATCTGCCTGTTCTGCACCCCACTCCACTCTGTCTCTGGAGTCTCACCCCTGTACCTCTGCCATGTATCCCAGTTCTTCTATGCATAAATAAGTAAATCTTTAAAGTGAATAAATACTTATTTGAGAGGGGTTATTTTATGTTTTGAATATGCCTTTCAACATTGCAAACTGTAAATCCACTTTTGAATTTGTTTTTCTTACTTTGTTCTTATTAAAGATGTATTTATTTATGCACACAAGAACTGGGGTGTAGGTCAGAGGTGTGGACAGTGAGAGGATTCCCCAGAGACAGAGTGGGGAGCAGAACAGATCTACTGAAACACTGCTGAGGGGAGCCCTGAAGCTCCCAGCTGCATGGCTGGCCAGGTATCAAACTGGTAGATCAAACTCATGCTTCA